ACCACACGCATTTCAGTCACAAACCCCGTGACTGACAAAAAGGGAAACAGCAGAAGAAAAGATGTGAAAAATACTGGATGATGATGATGGAGGATTAACCGTGGTGGTTAAACTGTTTCCTGTCTTTGTGGGCGTACTCACAGGGAAGTTTCCAGGCACATCAGTCTTGGTGGCCAAAGTCTCCATTTTCCAACATGAGGATTGGAGAACGACACCTTAAAACCTCCATTGGCGATTTATGATCCCAATAAATGATTTATGGCCCTAGGAAGTAACACAACTTTATGACACTCATAAAAGTATGTGTTAATACAATTATGATATTCATAAATTTATCATATTCATAACTCCTTCATTTTCACAAAATAAATTATTTGATTATTAAAAAATAAAGTTTTTATATATCAAATAGCATTTTTTTTTATTTTTAAGCCAAAAAGGTTTACTTCTTTATGGGCAAAAAAACCCATCTGGTGGTGGGTCAGTGCGTGTGTGTGTGTCTAGGCCCATGCTTGTGTTTCTGTGTGTGTGTGAAAATGTCTTTAACCAGAGTAAAAGTGCTTTACACTTGTGCTTTTGTAACGTTCAGTATGGTGGAAGATACAGGTACACCCGAACTCACACTGCTCCTAACCTGATAGGGACTCCCTGTATCCCCAAAACCTTATAATAAGGCAACAGGGAAAACTCCTGAAAAAACCCTTAGTCATTTTTCTTCAAACGATCCCTCTTCCTCACATCCAGCGCACAGCCTAAATTGTGCCTCTTACTAGCGCCGTTTCACATCCAGCGCAAAGAGAAAAGCAACTTTCCTACTCCCCGTCTCAGCTCCCAAATGCTGCTTAACTCAAAATTTGCGTCCGAGACCAACTCTGCCTCCGAGGTGTGCCTAACTTCGCCCCGCTGCCAATCACATATCAAATGGGCGGCTCCCGCAGCACCCCGGTTAGCCAATCGGCTACAGGTCCACTTTTACGATCTCAGGCAGAGGACCGGGCTCCCACAAGACTCCTGTCTCCAGAAATATACAAGTCCATACCAACTGCTCTGCAACCCAGTGTTTCTGGTCCCCTCACCAACATCGCTTTTTGATATATTTTTTATGAACCACCAAAAGGGCCATTTTACCCCCAGTACAGAAGACTGCATTTGGATCTGAGGGCAGCAGCGGGGACAAATGATTGTGAAGAAGCGACGGACATTTCATGGCTGGTCTTAGATAATCGTGAGTTATTGTGTCTTATGGTGAAAAGTACATAGTTTTGCAAGAGGCATACAAGCACTGTGGAAAAAGTAATCGTGTGTAAGTCCTGTAAAACTGTTTTTGTGAACACTTTGCTCCCTACGTTATGCTTTGAAAATGTGATACATGTAATGTGATCATCAAAGAACATGATTTTTTAAAAAAAACGTTTATTCTTATGTTTTTACAGTATGTCAGATTATCATAAAACACTTATTTGTATGTTATGTTTTTCTTACACCGTGTGTAATTTCTATAGAAATCTTTTTTCATTGTATCAATGTGTAATTATCTATCTTTGATAAATAAAGTATTTAATCTTGTATTTGTGTACTTTGTGGTTATTAAAAAAAAGATTGTGACATATTGCACTGATAAACACAGATGGCTGAAAGACATGTTTGATGGAAAAAAGAAAACAGGTGTTTTGCTGCTAAACTTTGAGGTTCTAAGTTTTAAATAAGAAAATGCATAGAGGAAACTAGCAGCCCCAAATCTGTATGTAAAACATGCAAACTTCATAGCAGTGATACTTGTTCGCACATAGTTGCACTTATTCTTTGTTACGATAGTTTACTGCTCCAATGAAACAACAAGATCTCATTTTAATGTACATTTTTTTGCCATGTTCTCTTAATATCTTAGAGCTATTTCCAGGGGCAAGAATGTTGATGTTAGATTCTGTTTTAAATCAGCTGGTGATCTTAAAGTCACTCTCATAGCACTGATTTTAGACTAATGTGCAACAGTTGTAATCTCATTTAAATGTCCAAATTGCCCTTTTCTCCAGTCAGGGTTATGGTGAAATTTAACTTGCTCTTTTGTGTAATTGCATATGGCCCATCACAGGACCCCTTAGTAAGCTGTATAGCAGAAGTTTCAATTCACTTTCATCTATGCATCAGTCACCTGGTAGTGAGACTGTTAGTCACACAAATGGAATAGAATAGAATAGAATAGAATAGCCTTTATTGTCATTGTACAAAGTACAACGAAATTGGAGTGCCACTCCCTTGGTGCAAAATGCAATAATAAATATAAATGTAAATATAAAAAGTACAATAAAACAACCGAA